ATTCCGGCTACTCGGAAGGCTGAGGCGGAAGGATCGCTGGAGCCCAGCAGGTGGAGGCTGCGGTGGCCGGGAGCAGCCACTGCACTCCAGTCTGGGCGACAGAGTGAGACTCCATCTCAAAACAAACAAACAAACAAATAAAATTACACTGAGATATCATCTAACTCTAATCGGGATGGCCATCACCAATAACTCAAAAAACAGCAGATGCTGGAGAGGATGTGGAGAAAAGAGAACACTTCTATACTGTTGGTGGGAGTGTAAACTAGTACAACCTCTGTGGAAAACTGTTTGGCGGTTTCTAAAAGATCTAAAAATTGACCTTTCATACAACCCAGCAATCTCCCTTTTGGGAATATATCCAGAGGAACTCAAATCACTCTATGAAAAAAATACCTGCACATGCATGTTTATTGCAGCATTATTCGCAATAGCAAAAACAGGGAACCAACCATGCTGCTCATTGAAAGTACACTGGATAAAGAAAATGAGCTATATTTATATGATGGAACATTATACAGCCATAAAGAAAAACAAAATTATGAACTTTGCAGCAACCTGGATGGAATTAGAGTCTATAATACTCAGTGATTTATCACAGAAACAAAGATATGAGTACCACATGTACTCACTCACTCATAAGTGGACCCTGAGCATTTATCATAATACTATAAGGGACTGGCAGTAAGTGGGACACTTCTGGGGGGAGGTGCATAACATCAATGAGGGTACGTACATGTTATCTGTACAATGATCACGTATGTACCTAACCCTGAACTGTACCCCACATTTTAAAAATAAACAAAGAAAATTAATTAGTGTAATTAATATTAAGCGTAAGAGAAAAAATTACTTAATCAAATCATCCTCATCTTTCAGACCTCCAAATGTTGAAGAGTCCTAGGACTCAGTCTCTTTATATACCTATTCCCCCTTATGACTCCTACACTTCTGTCTCTAGCCAGATCTTTCTTGAATTTCAGACCCATAAACCCAATTGCTTATTAGACATTAACAGGCATTTCCAACTGAACATGTCTAAAGCCAAACGCCTGCTCTTACTCCTCAAACCTGTTCTTTCTGCAATTCAGTAAGTGGAAACATCATTCTTGCAGTTGCTTAGACTAAAAACCCTTGGGATCATCTAAATCCTTGCTTTTCTTTCACACCCCATATCCAATCCGTCAGCAAATTCTGTTATTTCTTCCTCTAAAATATCCCCAGAACCTGTCCCTTTCTTACCGTGTCCCCTGATACAATTCTAGTCTGAGTCATCCTTTTACCTGGGTTATTACAATAGTTGCCAAACTGATCTTCCTGCTTCTATCCTTGCACCCTTACTATTTTCTGCCTAACAGTCACAACTCTTTTTTTTTTTTTTTCTCAAAACAGTCCAATGAACCCCACTCAGAGTAACATCCAGTTTTTACCAGTGCCTGTAAGTCCCCATGTGATGTGGTCCTTTGCTACTTTTCTGTGCTTTTTCCAGTCACCCGTCTGGTTCATATCACCTTATTATCCTTCTTGCTGTTCCTCCAAAATACCAACAATAGTCTATACTTGGTTTTCCCTTTTCCTGGAACAGCAGCATATGGCTTGTTCTCTCATTTCTTTAGGGCTCTGATCAAATGCCACCTTATCAGTCTCTGAGGAGCATATATAATAGATTCCTATCCACCCACACATTCTTCCTCCCCTCTATCTCCTTGATTTTTCTTCAAGGTCCTTATAGCTTTCTGACCATTTAAAACTTGCATGTTTGTTTTTCTATCTTTCTCAGCAGAAGGTAAATTTCTGAGGACACGGATTTTGTCTGGTTTTGCCTAGAATAGTGCTTTGGACATAGGTGCTCAAAAAGTATTTGCTGAGTGAATGAATGAACTACTGGGTCAGGAGTTAAGAATTTGGGATCAGATATAAGATAACCCTGATTTGACTCCTAGTTATGTCCAAGTGACCCTGGATAGGTTACTTACCCATGTTTTATGTTTTCTCATCTATTAAATAGAGATAATAATGCTCACCCCATAGGACTGATATAAGGATTAAAGGAATGTATGTAATGTGCTTAATATACAGTGACTTGGTACAAAAGTGCTCAATATATGACAGTGTTATGTAATATGGAAAGATGGCCTAGATTTGGACTCAAAAGCTCTCAGTTACACTGATGACCCCATATTGACTGCATGATTTTAGACCAGTCACCTCTCTCACATTAACTCACTCAATTGAGTTAAATCACTCAATTAACTCACTCAGCTATGAATCAGGTGCTGGGTAAAAAAGATGGCTAAGATGTAGTCACTTCCCTTGAATCTTGGATTGGTCACTTAACCTGAGCCTCAGTCTCCTCAACTGTCAAACGGGGTACTATAATACCTGCCTTGCAGCTTTGTTTTGAAGATTAAATGAGTGACCTTGTGAAAATAGTGTCTAGCACAAAGCAACCACTCATTATGATTACAATGATTCTAGTCTGGAGGAGGGGTAAGAGCATCTAAGCAAAAAACTGCAATAGAGTACAATAGAGCAAAAGCCAAAAGAAGAATGCCTCCAAAACCAGGGACTGTCCACAACTAGGAAATTATATGATGATCAGGAATTTTAAAATTCTGTTATGTCTGTGATAACTTAGCTTTCTACCACTACTCTCGAGGGAGTTAGAAAGACAGAATTTTTCTGCTGAGTTGATTAACTGTGATTCAAAACTTTTAGGGTCAGAGTGTAGGGTCTCAGATAATATTTCTTAAAACGGGGTCAATGGATGCACTGGGAGGGTAAGACAGTTCCTTCCACTCTGCCACCGCCCCGCCCGACCTCAAAGTTAACGTGTCACTTAAATTTGAGAACGTCATCTGAACCCCCAGAAGGCAAAAGCAGAAAGTAATACCCTGCATGAAGTTACCACTTAAGCCGAGGGTGTGTTTTATAGCGGCGCTGTAAGGGACCAAATGTCAGAACTGGACAGTAAAAGGTGGTCCTGGAGGCTGAGTAGGAGCTCCCCAGGTGAGAAAGGGAATGTCGCCTTTGGAGAGAGAACGAGAGTTAAGATGTGGAGGCGTGAAAGGGCATGTGGGTAGCCTGGAAGAACAGAAAAGAAGCTTTGGGGGGGGTGGGCAGCCAGGGAGCGGAACATGTATGGAGGAAAAGTGCGGCCTTGGGCCTACCAGGTGGAGGAAGAAGCCCCCCTCCCATACCCAGGTGATGACCTCTCAGCGTCAGTGGCCCCTCGGGATCCCCCTCTAAGGCATCGCAGCGGCTGGGCTCCTTCTGGTTCCCGCCACTCTTCTCTTACCTCGTCTTCCAGCCTTTCCCTCACTCTCCCGCCTCCTGTGCTCCGCCGGAAGTGACGTGCTAGTAAGCGCGCCGTGCGGCGCCAGAAAAGTTCTGCGGGAGCGGGAGAAAGGGTTCCGGTGAGTCCATTGCGCCGGCGTGCAGACTCCAGCGGTCAAAGCGCCTTCCGGGGGCTGGGGGAGCCTCGCTCCTTCCCTCGGCCTGTCTCCTTCGAAGTACCCTGAGCGAGGTTCAGGGAGGCTGCCGTCGCCAAAGGAACATCTTTCTACAGCTCCGACGCCTCTGGGTGCCCAGCTACTCCGGCTCTTGCCCTTTGACCCTGTTCGCGGCGGGGTGAGAGGTCGGGTGGCCATCTTGTGGCGGGCGCGGGCGGCTGTTACTGCGGAGACCCATCCCTTCCCCCTCCTTGCACCTCTGGCAGTCCGTCAATCGGGAAAGAGTCCCGCGGTCTGTCAGGCGAGGCCCCGGCCTCGTGCGGTCGCTCTCCCAGCCGCACTGGGCGGCCTGGTCCGCTCCTTGCCGGGCCTAACCGCCGCCACCATGTCCTCTTTCTCTGAGTCGGCGCTGGAGAAGAAGCTCTCAGAGCTGAGTAACTCTCAGCAGAGCGTGCAGACCCTGTCCCTGTGGCTCATTCACCACCGCAAGCACGCGGGGCCCATCGTCTCCGTGTGGCACCGAGAGCTCCGCAAAGGTAAACATCCTCCCCACCCCCTCGTCCCTCCCGGGCTTGTCCTTTCCCGCTCACTCCCCGGGCCCTCTAGCTTCTCAGTTGAGCGTTGCTCTCCAGGCCTGGGCCTGTAATCGCGCTTCTGGGATTGAAAACAATGTTATCCCCCTTCTTGGAGAAGGGAACTGAGGTCCAGGAAGGTTCAAGGTACTTGTCGGAGGTTCCACGAACTGGGGCTCAGGTGCCCAGACTTCCAGTTCATCAAGCTGTTTTCCCTGAGGCTCCCCTTGACATTTGTGACTTTTATATTATTTCAACTGCATTTCAGCCCCATTGGACGGGACTGGCTCTAACCTGTTAGTGCCAGTCCCTGTGCTGGGCTTTTGGAATAAGACCCAGCGGACTCTGAGGTCAAACAGCCCGTATCGGGTCCTGCTAGCTGAGGGATACTGGGTATCTGGGTATTTCTTCATCTCCCTGTGCCTATATTTCTTTTCTGTAAAACAGACAGGATAGCGGTCCCGTACAAAACCTTTACAACTTTCCAGTCACTATAGCAAGACCTTTGTGTATATTTTCGTACCCAGTCCTCAGAATAACCCTGTGAAATGGGCAGTCTCTTCTATCTCAGAGAGCTTAAGGGGCTGCACCACCCAGACCTGACCTGTCAGGACCTCTCCTGCAGCTGCCATTGATTTCAGGCCCTGCTCAGGATCTGACATTCACTGAGCTCACTCTGTTATGTGCCAGGCACTGGATTGGACGCAGTAGCATGTTGTCTCTGCCAGATGCCTGGAATTTAAGTCTGACTTTGCTACTTACTGACCTGTCTTACCCTGTCTGCTCTTTGGTTTCTTTGTCCATGAGATGAGCATGAGATAACTGATATTTATTGTGCCTTTATTGTATCCCAGGTAGTGTCGATATCTTTACATACATTGTCATTTTTTAAAAAGTTCTCAGAACCCAGTGAAGTAGGAACTTTGCAAATGAGGTAAAACTGAGGGGCTCAAACAACTAGTTGTGGTGAAGAGTAAACAGGATAATCCATATGAACATTTAGCATGGTGACAGGCACAGTGGAGGCATTCGGTAAATTATGGTGAGATGGGACTGTTGATTACTCGGTGTGAGGCATGCATGGTCTTTGCCTTCAAGTTTCTTACAGTCTGGGGGGAAAGATTGGTACCTACACTCCTACCTGGTGCTTTGATGAGTTTGATAACAGAAGACTGAAAAATGAAGCTCCAAGCTATTTTGGGCACTCTGTGCAGTAGGCCTTTATAGCTTAGGAAGTGACTTTACAGATGAGGAAACTAAAGTGGCTATGTGGCATTTTCAAGGCCTTTGAAGTGGTGAAGCTCAGACTACATCAGGCTGGCAGACACCAACATCCAGGATTTTTTAGGAGACCCAGTTCTAGACCTCTAGCAGGGGTCCCCAAATATCTCATGTGCTGTACTATACTGAGATAGAGATCTCCTCACCCTCTTCAGGCAGTTAGGGGGTAGATCTTGGGGCTCCTAATGCCTACTTCATATACCCCACTATGCCATTCAAATACTTATAATATCTGCTGAGATGTAAGAAAAACTCTAGAGAATCCTATTTGGTGGGATCTCAGAGACAAAGTCAGTCTCAAATGTCATTTTTGTGTGTGTGAAGCATGCTTGATTCCTCACCTCACCCTATTTGAATTATTGGAAAATAATAATTTAAAGAGTTCTTTGATTTATGACCCTTTATTCCTAATCTCATATGATAGAGCTTTATGTTGCAAGTAGGCCAACATTATTATCCCCATATTATACATGAGACGACAAGGATACAGAAGTTAAGTACCTTGCTCAGGGGCATACAACTGGAACATGAGCCCAGGCTGTCTGATGCCAAAACTTTGCTTTTTCAAGTACTCAGTGAACTTAATAAGTGAAGGTGGTCATCTGACTCCAACCAAACCTGTAGTGCTTTCATTTGTTAGAATTAATCAATGTCTCCCACCCCATCACGCCAATTTAGCATTTACTTTATTCCTACTAGTTAACTTATTTGAATAGTTATGTCTTTTTCATTAGATTGTGTTTTGAGAGAGAAACTGGACCTTCTTGTTTCTCTGTAACACCACAGCACATAGCGTGTTACACGGTTACACAGTTAAAAAACAGTTTAGTTAGCCAAGGATGGTGGCATGTACCTGTAGTCCTAGCTACTTAGGAGGCTGAGGCAGAAGAACCACTTGAGCCCAGGAGTTTGAGGCAGGAGTGAGCTGTGATGGCACCACTGCACCCAGCCTGGGCAACAGAATGAGACCTTGTCTCTAAAAAAATAAAATACAATTGAAAAAGAATAGTTCAGTAGTTAAATCATGGTCTCTGATATGATTTTCATGGTTGAGTAAGGAATCTGAACAGTACTAAGTACAGTACAACTTTCTGTGATAACAGCAGTGTTTCATATCTTTGGTGTTCAGCAAGGTAGCCACTTGCCATATGTGGCTATTGAACACTTAAAATGTGTGACTGAGAAACTAAAATTTTAAATAGATATAATTGAAAATTCAGTTTTCCATTTTTGCTAGCTGTAGTTCAAGTTTTCCAACAGCCACATGCAGCTGGTGGCTGTCATATTGAACGGTGCAGAGCTAGAAGATGCCTTCCAAGCATCAAGACCCAGCTTTCCAATATCTAAGCTTCCTTCATGAGTGGAAAATGCCTACACACTAAGGTGGAAAAGAATTTTGTACCCTAATGTTCAGAGTGACTAGCCCTTAGATAGTCTCTAGGGTCAAGTCATTTCCTCTGAGGTGCTCACAGACTGTCTCTAAGATGCCTTCAGAACATTTCTAATGTGTTATCTTTCCACGTTCTAGAAATAATTATTTTTTTTGAGTCAGAGTCTTACTCTGTCACCCAGGCTGGAGTCATGGCCACCACAGCCTCTACTTGCTGGGCTCAGGCGATCCTTCCACTTCAGCCTTCCAAGTAGCTGGAACTACAGGTGTGGGCCACTACGCCCAGTTAATTTTTTTGATTTATTGTAGAGATGAGGTCTTGCCATCTTCCCCAGGCTGGTCTTGAACCTGTGGGGTCAGGCAGTCCTCTCACCTCAGCCTCCCAAAGTGCTGGGATTATAGGCATGAGCCATCACACCCAGCTAGGAATAATTCTAAATTTATCCCTTTGGGCTCTATTCTGAGTAGAACTTCTTTTCTTTATGGAGTAGTTCGGTGTCAAATACTCTTAGATGAGTATTTTTTAGTGATGTTTTGTATCTTGGCCTGAGTGTAGGTAAATAGGCCTTTTTTCCAAAATTTACTTTAAGACTTTAGATACCAAAACCAGCCAAACAAGTGAAGATTTTTGATTAGCCAATTGTTTAAACTTTGCTCAACAACTAGTATGATCAATTTGGAATGAGCATAGGTGGGGGCTGAAAGAATCTATTTTGTCATATGGGAACGACATCTGAACAGGTGAGTTGTCTGTCACCCATGGTTGGAGTGGAGGGGTGTATGTGTTGTATGTTTTGCAATTGTGTTTGCCCTGGAGCTCTAGTGTTTTGTCATACATGGTGCACACATGGTGCTTATATTGACTGTTGAGGATTCTGGGTGTGGAGGGAGACAGTTTCTCTTTATAATAAATTCCCGTTGTTAAGTTTGGGGATGATGGAAAATTAACACTGTAGTTGGTGAAAACCTTGACTCTCTTAGATATTTTATTTGTAATACTGAAAATGTATCAGGTCCAGATTTGAATGTCCAAATCGGGATTTTTACAATATAGATTCTAGGTTTTTTAACATGAAGTATGTGGAATTTGTAAAGCTTCACTTAATCAAATTTGCATTGCTGAAGTTCCATTTTACTTACGAATCTGCCAACTTTCATGACATTGTAGACATGGTAACTTTACTTACTGCAATTTCCCACAACAAGGTTTGCTTTAACCAACAAAAAAGTTTTTTGGCTGGGTGCGGTGACTCATGCCTATAATCTCCGCATTTTGGGAGACTGATGCAGGAGGATTGCTTGAGCCCAGGAGTTTGAGACCAGCCTGGCCAACATAGCAAGATCTCGTCTCTTTTAAAAAAATAGAAATTATGGCCTGTGCCTGTAGTCCCAGCTGAGGCTGTGGAGAGCCATGAGTGTGCCACTGTACTCCAACCTGGGTGACAGAGTGAGACTCGGACTCAAAAAGAAAAAAAAACTTTCTGCCATAATCATACTTTTGTAGCAACAGTAGGTATTGTAACTATTGACATTTTTGTTTTGCTTTTAAATAATAATTCAAACAGTTACGGAAAGCTCCAGATTCACAATATCCTCATCATTTGGCAATGTAAACTAGGTTATAACCATAAGTTACAAGATTAAGACAGATTTCAAGATATTCATATTTAATTTTATTAACATTTCAAGACATCAGTTTAAAGTATAATGTACTTATTACCTTTACCTTTAAATCGGGTTATTCTCCTCTACCTACATTTTAAAATGTCAGGTCTTATGTGTGCTGTGTCAGAGCTTATACATGCTTTATACATTTCAAAAGACTAGCTAGAGCGAGGACTAGAGAGACTAAAGCAAGGACTACTTACTCAGGTGTGTGTAAAGGCTGAGGTGGAGCTTGCCTGAGTTTTTCAGGTACTTTAGCACTGGAAAAAACTTTATGTTTTGGAATATCTGATTATGTTCTTATTTATTTCTCTTAAAAGAAAACTGGGACAAAAATGGTAGTGATGTAACTTTATGGTTGAGAAGTTATGTGCATAGAAGCCAGGAAGTTCAGTAATGTCCCCCCGAGCAACTGTAACTCAGACATATTGCATGAGACTTTTATGGTTTAATATATGATACCATATAGAGTAATAGGAAATACTACATTTCATATAAATAAGAGAAGAATTATGGTTTTTCTGGGAGCCATAATTTCACATATCCAGATTTCAGATGTGTGTAAATTTTCATTAATAATGTAGTATTAATGTATATTTGTATTTGAGATAAATATCTTTTGGTGCATCTCAAGATTCCTCTGTGTCATTGACTGTGGTTATTGGAGTACCAGAGAGAAATTCTCAGTTTAGGAACATAAATTACAAGAAACAATTTTAAAATTGAAACCTAAGTTAGTCTTTCATTATAAAATATTTGATAACTAAGTATGAGTCAGAAATGTTCCCCTTTGCAGTAGAATAAATAAAAGCCTTGGTTTTAACATTAATATTTTCTTTGGATTATCTTCATTTTGACTGCCAGTTAATTACCTTGGCTAAAATAACATAAGTGAAGATGGCCTGCTCTTTTTATTTTTGAAATTGTATTTCTAAGCCTATTTTTTAAAGTTGTCTTTTTAAACATAGCTACTTGATCTCAAGTAGGTAATGCTTGTCTCAATGTTCTTTAGGAGTAGCTGAGGGCAAAAGAATTCTGAATTGAGAATTTTTTTGGTGTAAGTTAAATTATCCTCTTTTCTTTTTTTCAGCCAAATCAAATAGAAAGCTTACTTTTCTGTACTTAGCGAATGATGTCATCCAAAACAGTAAAAGGAAAGGACCTGAATTCACTAGAGAGTTTGAATCTGTCCTTGTGGATGCTTTTTCTCATGTTGCCAGGTACGTAGTCTGTTTTGTTTTTAAATGCCTTACCTTTTCCAGCTTTTTATTCTTTCCTTTTCTGTGATAGTCTTTGTAAATTGACAACTTCCTACTTCACAGAGTTGTATCGAGGCAAATTGTGGTTTTATGTTTTGTTGGGTCCTTAAGAACTGAGACATGTAAACATTTTGATATATTAAAGAAATTCAGCCTCACAGTTGAAGCACATCTTTCCCCCCCAGATGTATTCTTAATGAATTTATTTCTCAAGTATGGTATTTTCCTTGGTTTGGTTGAGTTACCTTATTAGCTTATGATCAACACATAGCTAACTAGTAAGGAAGCCTTTTAGTAATATAACCTTAATAGCAAGAAATTAGTTGCCAGTTGCCGTCTTTTTTACTTCTGAATTTCTAGATTTTTTTTGCTAAAAATAGTAGTCATTATTGTAGCTGCAAGAATAGTAATTATGAGTATGAATTGTGGGTGCTTTCTCTGGCTATGTTATAGTAAACCTGCTGCTATTGTGTTTTATGTCAGAGGAGTGAAGCATGGACTACACATGTAGCTAATAACATAGAAAGCATACATTGTATTAAAAGTCTTGGAAATCATTTTTCTTCATGTGTAAACAAAAGCTTTCTGTAGGCATAAATTAGGTGCCCAGGAAAACCAAAGAAAAACTATTCAGTAGAAAATTATGTTTGTAAGTAAACATGAAAATAAATATATCTTTTCAAAAATAAGTTGAGAAAGATGAATAGGAGACTAGTGGGTTAAACAAAGATTGTTTTAGAGTCTAAAATGTAAGTGAAAGTCCTTAAATGAGAAATGAAGTCCTGCATTCCTTATCGGAGTTGAAAAGTTTAAAAGAATAAAATTAGAAGTCAAAGAGAAAAGCTTTCTAGAGATGAAAAAGATTTTTGGTGGTCAACTACATACCTGGCTCGTCTTTTCATGAACATGGACACTGAAGTAGCAGAATGTGTTACTAACTTGAAAATAATACTGAATCTTCATAACAGAAAGCTTAGAATAGATTATTTGAATAGCTGTCTAAAATTGGGGACAGGGGTTTTTGTTTTGATGAGATTTAGTTCACAGCTTCTTAGACATTGGCTATAGCTTTGCCTCAAACACTGGATGTGTTATTTAACTTTTTGAGCCCAAATTTCCTAATTGGCTGAAAGGGGAGGACACTGCCTGTCTCATTAGAGTCATTGTGAGACTAAAGTAAGACAGGTTGTCTGCAAGTACATAGTGCAATGCCTGAATCACATTCTTTGCACAGTCAGTGGAATATACTCGATTATAAGCTCCGTGAAGGGAAGGACTGTTTCTTTTTTGCTCTTTGCTATATTTCAGGCACCTAGTCAAGTGTCTGGCACAGAGTTGCTGGTTTACGTAGCTTGAGGGAATACTGTTTATATAGCCTCAATGTAAATGATGTCCCTGGAGTTAGGCAACATTGTGGTCTGCTTGGCACAGTCTAGGGATCCAGTAAATGTTTGTCAAATTAATTAATTAACATTAACTTATTGGGGGAGAGATTTGGTCTAGGGAATTGGATAGAATGATTTCTTTTTAAAATTGCACTTATTTAAAAATGGATCACTAATCTTCTGCTGCCCTGAAATGTGAAAGGGTAAATGGAAAGTGCTGGGAAAAGGAATAGGCAATACCAGGATTAAAGTCTCTTTTTTTTTTTTTTTTTTTTTTTTTGAGTAGGAGGCTTACTCTGTCTTGCAGACTGGAGTACACTTTCATGGCCACTGCAGCCTCAACCTGGGCTCAGGTGATTCTTCCGCCTCAGCCTTCCAAGTAGCTGGAACCACAGGCTTACACCACCATGCCTGGATAACTTTTTTATTTGTTGTGGAGACAAGGACTCACCAAGTTGCCCAAGCTGGTCTCAAACCCCTGGACTCAGGCAGTCCTCTTGCCTCCACCTCCCAAAGTGTTGGGATTACAGGCATGTACACCACTCCTGGCTTAAACAGTCTCTCTCTACTTGGGAACATCTTAAATCTCTCCAGGAGGCACTGTAAAAGCAGCTTGACAGATTCCATGGCATTGTGGAATCTTCTCAATACAAAATAAAATAAAATAAAAAATCCAAGTTCTTTTCTGTTTACATTCTTCTAGTTCTTTTAAGTTTCTGCTTGGGTATCAGATTCAGGATTCCCATGTTTTCAAACTTCTTTCCCTACCTCATTATTGGAACATAAAGTCCAACAAACTCTACTTAATCCTGATGCACCTTATCAATACTAAGACTAACCTGATTAATATAAGGGAGGCGCCCCAAAAACCTGGAATTTATTTATGTAAAAAAATTATATATTCTTACATGTTTAAGCTTCAGTTGCCTTCAAAGTACTCTCCTTTTGATGCAGTATACCTACCGAGATGCTTTTTCCACTGCTCCAGTTTTTGAATGCATCAATTTTGATGCCTTTTAGTGCTTCTGCCATTTTTTGTTTCATCTTTTCCACATCGGCAAAAAGTTGTCCTTTGAGTACTTTCTCATCAGGGAAATTAAAAAAAGGTTGCTCAGGGTGAGATTGGGTAAATAGGGAGGGTGGGGCATGGGGGTCATGCTGTCTTTGGGTCAAAAACTGCTGAGCACTCAGTGCAGAGTGGGCAGGTGTGCTCATAAATCTTCCTTCATAAATGGGCTAACACGTTGAGAGATTCTCCACATAAAATTCACTGAAGCCAAACGCAGCCTCAAACAAAACCACTAGGTGCGCTGATGTAGATGGGTTCTTAGAACACTTAGCTAGTGGGGGGAGCCTGTAGCACAGGGGCCTGCCCGCCAAAAGATAATTCTGGGTTTCTTTTGGGTCACCCTTGTATATGCATTCTGTATGCTTTTTCTCTGACTAGCTGATAAACAAAGATTGTTGACCCATTAATATTGATCAGATTGATTAGGGATATCTTTATGATAACACCCTCTTCCTTCCCCCATAAACAAGCAGGAACTTAAGTTAGAGAAAGCTGCCAAGTTCATAGGGTAGATTTGACTTGAAGAGCTATTGAATTAACTGGGCTGCAAACTTGTTTTCCACACAAGTACCTTCTTGTTTTCTTCTCAGTTCAGAGACAGTTGTACATGTCTTTTTTCATTCAGCACATATTAGTGCCTTCTATGTGCCAAGTACTGACCTAGAAACTAGAGGAGCTGCAGTGAAAAGGCAGGAAAAGACAGTTAAATGAACAGGATACTTTTAGATAGTAATGGACATAATGAAATGGAATGATGTTCTAGAATGGGATCTCTTCTAGGCAGCGTGATTAAGGAAGGCCTCTCTAAAGAAATGACATGTGAGGTAATCATGCAGAGCAGGAGCAGCTATTAAGAAGAACTCAAGATAGAAATAATCTTGGCATGTTAAGAGAAACAGAATGAAGGCTGGTGTGGTTGAGAACAGAGTGAGCATAAGAAAAGTATCATCAAGATGAGGTCAGAGAGGTAGACAGGCACCAGCCACATATACCCTGTAAGCCTGGGAGAGTTTGGGTTTTATGTTGATGGCATGTTAATGAAGATTTTAAGCAGGGGGATGACGTCTTCCAGCATTCACTGAAAGAGTGGCTTGCTGTGTAGCATGGATTGTAAAGGCCCAAGGGAGGGGCAGAGACAGGAGCATGGAGGATATTGCTGTGGAGCAGGCTAGAGAGGACATTGGCTAGATCTCGAGCAGTGAGAAGACAACAATAGCTTCTATTTGTTGAATGCTTAATTATTGTATGGAGTCCCTCCTCCTCCTATATGAATAAACCCCACCATGGCAGCAGTCTTGTGATTAACCCACCCATCTGCCTGCTGTCCATCACCTGACATCAGTACCTGTACTTGTCTGCCCCTTTGTGATGATGTGGAGCAGACTATCACCCAGTCACCTTAACGATCTTCCCTCATCTAGGGGAATGGTTAAAAGGACTCAACCACAAGCAGCTAGCGGCCATTGCCTTGCTAGACTCTGGTGTGACCATGCCATTTTTGAGCTATGGCTGTCACCATGCCTCCTGGCTTTGGTCCCCTCCCCTACCTTGGGGAGGTGAATCTTCTCTCTTCTCTTTCTCTCTCTAATTTACTTTTAAATAAACTTTTCTTTCTTTAAAAAAAAAGATTTTATAGGAGTTGAGTAAGAAGCTGATAGAGGAAAGATAAATCAAAGATGGTTTCTAGGTTTTTGAAGTAAGTAGATGGCTGCTGGTGGTGTTTTGAGCTGATGATTGGGGAAAAGACTTGGTGGTAAAGAGCTTTGTTTTGGCCAGATTAAATTTGAGATGGCTAGTAGGTATTCTAAAGTGTGATGCCTCAGTAGAGAATTAATTTCTGGAGACATAAATTTGAGAATTACCACTGTACACATGATATTTATTGTTGTTGTATTGGGGGTCCGCAGGCCAATCCTAGATTTGATGACTGCCTAGGGGGACTCACAAGGCTTATCATAATAGTCATATTCACAGTGATGATTTATTACAAAGGACACAAAGTGAAATCTGCAGAGAGTAAGGGTGCATGCAGAGAAGACTGGAGTTCTCTAGGCGTGAGCTTCCAAGAGTCTTCTCCCAGTGGAATCACACAGACATACTTAATTCTTCAGTATTGAATTGTGACAACATGCTTGGGGTGTAATCTGTCAGGGAAGATCATTAGAGCCTTTAGTGCCCAGAGTTTTTATTGGAATTGGTCATGTAGCCACCCTCTGCTAAAATTCTAGGATCCCAGAAAGAAAGCAGGTGTTCATTAAAGCTTCTGCCCTTCGTAGGTCTACCATAGGCCTACTGTGCATGGAATAAAACAGAAATACACATATTACTGTGGTTGACCAAAGAAGTACAGAGGAAGAAAGAGCCCCCAAAGCTGGCTTAGCAAGGTTTCAGGTATTCAGCCAACACTTCAGGCAGCAATTCTGTGTGTGTGTGTGTGTGTGTGTGTGTGTGTGTGTGTGTGTGTGTAATATACAGTTTTCATTCTTAAGGTCAGTTTTGCCATCGGTATTGAAAAATGGTCAATGACTGAATTTATAATGAATCAGTTAAAATACACACTAAGTGTTCAACATAACCATCTTTTGCTTTATTCCTAGATTGGTGGCAGATTTTTTTGTCTTTTCTTAAAGATTTCTCAGTTTAGGATGGAGTTAGTATAACCTGAAAAGATAGCTCCTTCTGTTATAAAATTGCTTTATTGCTTTAGTTGTATCTGATTCCAGGTGCTAAAGTGATTTCCAGTTCACTGGAGCTATTTACTTCAAAAAAACCTCATCAGTAGAAAGATTTCTTGACTATTTTATCTATAATTTATCTAGCAAAACTTTGATTTACTGCAGTACTCAAGGAAGTAACCTATCCTGGTTAATTACATTCACTAATTGAACTAAAACCCCACTTTTTGCAGAATTTTAGTGGTTAAAGCCTTTTGAAAATGTTTTATGATCATAACAGGTTTTAGTATCAGTTTTCACTGTATAAAAATGTGGCTGAAACTGTACTCAAAACCAGTCTTAGTCTTGAGTCCCAAATGTCTCCAGCAGTGGTGGATGGCAGGTTGGTGTTGTGGACCTCTCACCCTCCTTTTAACTAAATCTAAATCATTCATAAGAATTTGTTTTTACGATTGGTTTCTCTTTCTTTTAAGTCTACAGAGGATCTGCAGCAAACAGAATTTATGTTAAAAGTACCAACCAGTTAATTAAGTTCTGATTAGTTGCAGTTTGGTTATATTAGTTATAGTGGCTTTATTTTTCTAAGCCACACTTTTTTTCTTTCCGAGTTGGAGTCTCACTCTGTCACCTGGCCTAGAATGCAGTAGCACACTCATGGCCACTGCAGCCTCAACCTGCTAGGCTCAGGTGATCCTCCTGCCTTAGCCTTTCAAGTAACTGGAACTGTAGGTACATACCACTACACCAGGCAAATTTTTTGATTTATTGTAAAAAACAAGGTCTCACCAAGTTGTCTGGGCAGGTCTCGAACTTCTGTACTCAGACAATCCTCTTGTCTTGGCCTCTCAAAGTGCTGGGATTACAGACATGAGCCACCACACCTGGCTTCATACTTTATTTTTCTAAGCCATATATTTGATCACATCAGGGCCTTCTTATTACCTACAGGCCACATCCTTAATATGGCATTCAGGGCCCTCTAAAATCTAATTCCACTCTTTCAGATTCTTCTGTTGTTTCCACAAATCACCCCATGTGCCTCAGCTACCTGAATTACAGCTTCTTCTTTCTCTTTGCCTTGTTCCTTTTTGGAGGGTCCACTCGTAGGAGAGGCGATAGCATGAACCAAGTCACACGCGCAAGAGGGTGAGTTCTGAGTAGAAAATACATATGGTTGAGTGAAGTTTCAGGTAGAATAGGAAAAGGAGATGAGGCTAAAGAGATCTGAAAGGCTACTGGGCTAAGCCCTGGTGGTCAGGACCTAGGCCTTATTCTTTGTACTCCAGGCACATGGCATTTCATAAACCTACATTGATTGAGCTGGGGAGTGTTTAGTTGATTCCTGACATGAATGACCTTGATGAGGGAAGATGATTGTTGCAAGGTAAGTAAGTGTGTGGCCTGCTGAGACCTATGTAAATGTTTTTGAAAAAGATTATGCTGTAACAAATATTTATTGTGCTTGTTCTAAGGCATATAGCAAGAGGGAAAAGGGAAACCCCTGACCTTGTGGAAATTGCATTCAAATGGAAAGGCTAAACAGAAAGCAAACTGTATAGCATATCAGAAGATAAGTTGCATGGGGAAAAATGAGCTAGAGGCAGGTGGTCTAATTTTCAACATGGAGATTGGGGAAGGACTCATTGAAAAGTTGATGAGTGACTAAACATATGCTCGAAGAAAGAAAGGGGATGAGCCATGCAACCATTATGGGGAACTATGGGCCCAGGTAAGGCCGACATTTAAGTGCAAAGGTCCTGAGGCAGGACAAGAGAGCTATTGCAGCAGGAGTGGGGCAGAAAGGGTGGGTAGAAGATGAGGCCAGAGAAATAATAAAGGGCCGAGTTGAGAAAGGACTTGAAGGCTGTATAGACTTTACAAAGCCCTTCGTAAGGGCTTTTACTTTTATTCTGAGGGAGAATGGGAAGAAATGTTGGTGAGTTTGAACAAAGGAGTGACATGGTCTGCTTTAACACAACAGCTAGAATCATGCTTTGAAAACTTGAGAACAGATTGTAGGAGGACAAAGGTGGAAGTGGGGAGACCAGTAATGAGGCTATTGTGGTAATCTAGGCAAGAGATGATAGTGGCTTGGACCAGGTTGATAGCAGAGGGAAAGGTGAGAAGTAGTTCATTTCTGGATGTATTTTGAAGGTGGAATAAAAGTGTTTTTTATCACAAATATAATATAATTGGGTCATATTTTTAAGCTTTATAAACTCAGCAGTAGAAATGTTTCCCCCTTTTTTCCTAACCCTCACCTCTGACTTTAAAAAGTTTAACAAAAAGAGAATTAACTTCTGTATACCCTGGCCCCAATTCAGTGAAATTTGCCACTAAAAATTTTAAGTAGCACAGTCTAACTAGGCTAGGCTGAAATCTCAGCTCCTCTCGAGTTTACAAAAGTGCTGTCAGGGTTAGGGGTGGGCGGCGAGAGTTCCTATCTCTATTGAATTTGGTATGGTTTCTTCTCAAAGTTCTTATTAAAGGTATTTAACTTAGCTACTGAGAAGTTGAGGTATCCCTTCTTGTTTAAAACCGTTCCATATAAGATTGTTGCCACCTAAACAAGTCAGTCTCATAAGACAGAACAATTCACAGAAACACGGTGGTGGTGAGTGAATTCATTTCCCTTTCGGAAAGTCTTCCTCCAGTGTTCTCATCGCTGTCTGACATTTTAGGGTAGGCAGCTGGTTCTCACTGAGTACTGGTTGTAGTCATCTCATATTCAGTTTCACGGAAAAAATTATCCGACTTTTCTGAGGATTGCATTACAAAGGATTGCATTACTTTCTATGTTCTAAGATTATCAATTAGACACCTTTGTGCCAACATGGGCTACAGACTTAGCCCAGAATTAGAATAATTATGAAGTAGCTAATGTTGAGGTCAGTCTTGGCGTATATGTGTGTATGATTGTATTTATACATGTAAATGTGTTGGTGTGTTAGCATTGATGTGTACTGAATTTGTTTTAAAGGTTTTTAATGTTCCCATTTTACATGTGTTTTAAATCATTTTTCAGTTATTAAGAATTTTGGTCCATTTAATTATCAGCAAAATGTTTGGCATTTCAATTAATGTCTTCTTAAGAAGCAAGCTGTCACAATTGATATGATGGATACTTTTATAATTCTCTGTAAAAATCAGCCATTGGCTTTTTGCCCTGTTTGCCCCCTCTTTCAAAGTGGAAAAAAAAGATAGATTACTTCTATGATATGATGCCTTTTTCCCTACCCAGCAAAGGGAAGAATGTAGTTTCTGGTCAAGTTTTGGATATTCAAGTATCGCAATATGTACCATACTCTTCCTTCTGTTTTGAAATATGTAAATCAGTCAGTTGATTTTTTTTTTTTTTTTTTTAAGTAGAACTGTCCTAATTAAAAACAAAAAAATCTTAAGCTTATATATATCTTTTCATCTTTTCTGGGCAGAGAGGCAGATGAAGGCTGTAAAAAACCTTTAGAAAGATTGCTGAACATCTGGCAAGAAAGAAGTGTGTATGGCGGCGAGTTCATACAGCAGCTGAAGCTGTCTATGGAGGACTCCAAGAGCCCTCCCCCCAAAGGTAGAAACATCACCACATGTTTACAGCTCTTGGTCTTTGCCTACTTTCGAATCAGATATGAAAAGCTGCAGTGGGGGTTGCTGTGAACCACCAGCGATTTTATGATTCTTCAGAGAGAGATGATCATAAATGATGGTGAGAATTTACATAGTGTTCGCGGTGTGTAAGCCTGGTTCTAGTCTTCATGCTGTTTATTCTCTCACACCCTAACTTTTTGCTCCCTGTTCTCCTTGGCTCTCTTCTTTCTTTCAGAGATTTTCCTTGCATGAGGAAAAGAATGGCAAAGTTGTTAAGAGTTCTGGTGAACTAGGAAGTACTTTGGACTAGGATTTTTGGCCTTGCCCTGCCATTAACTACTGTAGGATTTTGGCTAAGTTTTTAGCCTTTCAAGAACTTGGTTCATTATATATAGATGTGGCTTTGAGACATACCCTTATGGTATTCAGCACACAGTCTAAAGTTGACTTTGGTCTTTACTGAACCCAGGATATCTTTGAGGAGTGTGTGTGTGGTGTGTGTGTGTGTGTGTGTGTGTGTGTATGTGGTTTTTAATTCCAGTGGCATGACCTGTTTCTTAGCTACAGATCTGACCTGCCCCTACATACGTACTCCTTGCTTGGAGGATCAAGTCCAAGCACTGATAGAATTGAAGACCCTTTATAATCTGAACTGTCCTACTATCCTTGTCTTCCAGATTCTTCTGCCTTACGTATCCATGCTCTTTGGCCACACTGAATTGCCGACGCCCCCCGCCCCCGCGCGCCCCACCCATGCTCTGTTGTTGCCCTTCTTTTGCATCTGCTCTTACCTGTGCCCGCGATGTCCTGCCCCTTTCAAGACTACGGCTCTCATTCCGACGTCTTCCTTTGCTTGTATGGGTGCACGTAGTCTTTCCTTCCTTGTTGTCTAGTAATTTGTACATGCATCTGCTGTAGAACTTGGCCATGAGTAGCATGCGTGACAGGATCACGCCCCTTATTATGTACCCTACCCGATCTCTTCCAGGTCTAAAATTATATGCATTTTACAGCGGGGTAACTTTACTGTAAAACCACAAAATTAGAGACTATGAATGAGATAACTGCTTTCAGACTGTAGGTCATTGTTTTACTAGGAGTTGATAAAATATAATTTTAGGGTCACTGTTGGTAGCTTCTGAAAATCCTACTTTGGATTCTGGTAGTGTTTGTATTGTGTCCTTTGTGGGGTGTTTTTACAGCTTTGGGGAATTATTCAGCATTCTTTACTGCATCAAACAGTTCTGATTTTTTTCTTTTTTCTTTTTATTTTTGCGTTAGTGGTCTCACTCTGTCTCCCAGGCTGGAGTGCAGTGGCACAATCACGACAATTACAGCTCACAGTAGACTTAACCTCCTGGACTCAGATCTGATTTTTTAAAACATCTTTGGTCAAGTAGAAGAGCTCTGGAAGAGGATGATTGAAGCTAACGTTGAATTTCAGTTTAGCAGACATTGCTGGACACATGCTTTGAGGAAGTAGCTATGCTAAGTGCTCTAGGAAAGAGTGAGAGGAGGTGAGAAGTAGTTCTGCACTTGGGGAATTTGTGGCAGTGGTAGTATTGGAAATAGCTTCATTGGGTTTCTGATTTTTTGTTTGTTTGAGAGTCTAGACAGACATTAACAGTAACAGAGCCAGTATTCCTCCATGTGGAGGATAATGCTGATCTGAAGATAATTTCTCTTTCTCTATTCTGTAAAGATGAAAACATACATCAAAAGGTTTCAGCGTGTGTGTTAGTGTCAGCTAACTCACTCTGTCTTCACACTGTCTTCTTTGGACCTGACTTACCAGAATATTTTACTACAATCCTTTCAATTGGTGAATTCTCTGGAATGACAGTTCTTAGAACATTGGAGAATGCATAAACTTGGGAATTCTGTTTTAGAACTGGAGATTTCTTAAGTTTCTGTACCTGTCTCCTCAAGTGCAAGACCTAGGTGTTCTAAAGTTGTTTCTCAAAGCATACTGTATCCTATAAATATGTACAAGTATTATGTGCCAATTAAAAATAAAAAAAAACAAGAAAAGGAAAAAATACAGTTATCTCTTGATTCTTTGGAATGCTCAAGCTGTTGCTTGACTAAGTGGGACTTTATTTACTTGAGCCACACATGACTCTGCCATACAGTTACAGAGGTGTTTAAAGGGAGGGTAGGTACAAGGGGACTAACGTTTTTTGAGCACCTGCTGTGTACCAGCCTCTCTGCTACCTGCTTTTCATTTTCATTGTTTTAGATCCTTAGAACTACTCTCTGAATTTTGGTATTATTTTCATATTTTAGATGAGGATACTAAGGCTCAAAAAGGTATAGCAATTTTGTCCAAGGAAATAAGTGGAGAATTCTCAGGTCTATGTGAATTTAAAGCCGATATTCTTCACACCATACTTTTTCCTGAAAGTACATGGATTCAGTAGATTTTAATGATGTTTGTGAGCAGGTTACCTGACTTTTCCTGGACCGCAGTATAATTTAGGTATTCAGACTTCTGAAGTATGACTCTCAGCTGTGCTGCTTCTAAAGCTGTGTGACTTTGGCCACAGCATTTGATTTCTCGAACCTCACTCAGGACCTCACTGTGTAATTTTAATGGCAATACCCCCCAAAGTTGTGAGGCTTTCTTGAGATAATGCAGGTAAGATGTGTCAGTGGGGCAAAGATGTGATTTTGATTTGCCCCTCTTAGTTCTTAGAACATTGGTGTCTTATGTGCTGAGTTTCCTATATGAACTGGAAGCAAAAGGAGGAGGCAGCTTTAGTTTTCTCAGGCCTCCAGATTCTGCGCAAGCCCAGAGAGCACGGTTGTGAAGAGCATTAGCTCTAGACCCGGCTTCCCCGTGTGCATGCCTGGACTTGGTCACATGGTCCAGTGAGATAATACGGATAGATGCTTCTAGAAGTGTGCTTTAAGTGTTAAACTTATATTTGTTGCAGGTTTGTTTTTTCCCCAGAATTAGAATTTAATGTGCTTTAAAATTGTTTTCTTTATTTTGCAGAGAGGGAGCAAAGAATGAGGGAGCTGTTGCAAATAGTGCTTCCTGATTCTTTTCTCATTAAACAGGTTATAAAGCTGGGGGTGTTCCTTTTTTTTAATTTCAGAAAATTTCAAATGGATTCTTTAGAAGATCCAGTGTTACAGGTAGATGGCTGCATATTACAGTGTGATTTGTGAGTCTGCAGGCCAGCTTTTTATGTTAAGATTAGTTTCACAGTTTGCCACAGTGTCTGAAATTCTACCACAGTCATGTCTGTAAGAGGCAAATCATAAGCCCTTAGTAATGAGGATTACTTGAAGGTTAGCCAAGAGCAAGGCCCCCTGGAGACACTGGAAAAAGTTAGAAATAGAATAGAAGGTGTCCAATATGAGGACAAGACATGGGCCCACCCTCACAGTGTTTGTCCTGCTTGCAAACAGTGAATGAGTAAGTAAAAAAGGGAGTGTAAATACATACCATGGTCAGATGCTGAACTGGTACTAGAAGGCTTATCTTGAATTCAGAAGCAGAAATGGGACTGACTGACAGATTTCCTAGTTTTTTTCCCAACTCTGACCTCTCTGCCTTCAAGAGGTTTCAAACTCCAGTCTGTTAACTCCTTCTTTAGGGGCTGTAGAGATTTAGAGGAAAGAGACATGAAATGTTCCTATGGGAGAGAAAGTCTTGCCATCAGCCATACAGATAGCAGGTTCACATGCTGTGAGAGTTAGAGGGAGTGCTCAAGATAATACTTCCATGGTCACCAACAGTCTCTGAACTTAGGGGGAAACTGCAAAATCAGTAGAGGCCACTGAACGTTTCGCAGACATGATGAAGTGAGTGCTTAGCTTTAAGAAGATTGATTTAATAGCAAAATACAGCCAGCTCTCTGTCTTCACCAGATCCACAGCTACAGACTCAACCAACCACAAAAGACCCAGAAAAAAAATGCAACAATAAAAATAATACAAGTAATGTAAAAAAAAAATACAGCATAACAACCATTTACATTGTATTAGGTATTATAGTAATCCAGAGATGATTTAGAGTATATAGAATGGTATGCATGGGTTATATGTGAATATTATCAGGGACTTGAACATCCTCAAATTTTGTTATTCGTGGCGAGTGTCCTGGGACCAATGCCCTGTGGATTCCAAGGGACAGCTGCATAGTCAGGAGAAAAGGAGCATCTAGAGGCCAGGAGAGCAGTTGGGACAGTGGTCTGACCAGATGTGATGAGGGGCAGCTTGGTCATAAAAGGCTGTGTATGGGAAGAAGGAGAGAGGAGGTAAGGCATCCCAGAGAGGTGAGGATTCTGCTGGAGATTGGGACTTTGGGGTAATTCTGGTTGTTTCCAGACCTTGTGCTTGGGAACGAGGGCCAATGGAAGTGTTTGTAATGGAAATAGGTAGCTCAGAGAATGAGAAGCCCTATGGGGGAAATGATGGATAATTCATTTCCAGAAATCTTAGGTTTTGCAGCAACAGTAGGTCCTCCAAGTGGAACTCAAAAACTGGAAAAGTGGGATGATAATAACTAACACCTCCCATTATACCCTCTTCCAGTAGGATGGCAAATGACAAAAATGACCCTAAAAGGATTTTGTATCAGTTTGAGTTGTCTTGTAAGGCTGTGAGTTAGTGGCAGCATGAAGTCGTAAAAAGAACTCCAGATTAGGAGGCTTTGATTTGTGGGATCCAGATTTAGACTAACAAGCACTTTCTGACTCTGGTTAAAGCATAGCCTGTGGACTTAGATATTTTCATGAAAGTAAGTTGGGGGAAGCAAAGGCAGATGCCAGTCTATGGTCTTCCAGTGCCAAAATTCAGTAATTCTAAGTGTCCTGAGGTGGTGAGTTTGGTTTTTATATATAATAATTTCTGTATGAGAATTTGAAAACTGAAGGATTTCAGTAACTCCTTTGAGGTATTTAACATTTATTGAGCATTCTTCTAGCTGGGAAGCAAACAAAACAATGTGATTTTTTTTTTTAATCTTGTGCTTACATTCTTTTTTTTAAAATTTTTTAAAATTTTAAAATTTTTTATTTTTTGAGTTGGAGTCTCACTCTGTCACCCAGACTGGAATGCAGTGGCCGTGCCTGGCCACTGCAGCCTCGACCTGCTGGGCTCCGGTGATCCTTCCGCCTCAGCCTTCCAAGTAGCTGGAATTACAGGCGCGCTACCACGCCCGGTTGATTTTTTGATTTACTGTAGAGATGAGGTCTCGCTGCCCAGGAGGGTCTCGAACCCACGGGCTCAAGCAATCCACTCACCTCAGCCTCCCAAAGGCACGGGATTACAGGCTGAGCCACTGAGCCCGGCTATGTGCTTACATTCTAATGGCCACTCCCTGGCCGCTTTGATGCTGTTGTGATTGAATGTCTGTGTGGGTCATGTAACGTGTTAATTAGGCAGCTGCTGTGTGCAAAGTACTGCTAGGTGTTTAATAGGTAAGTTAATATCCTAGTAGATTTCCCATTTAAAAAATAACAGCAGTCCTTGCTCTGCATGGTATTGCAGACTAGCCATGACTGCAAGCTGAACCCATGCAAAGCAATCTTAATCCAGTGGGGAAAATTATGATTGTTCTGTGACTTTAAAATGTTTTTTGTCAAATATTGAAAAACTCACTATTGATTACAAATTTATAGGGAAGCAAAATGACAGTAAAACTAATAGTTGTTCAGTATGCTGTAACTTAAAAAATTGGAAGCATTGAGAATTGAATTGTATTTTTTTTGTAACAAACTTATGAAGAGTAGTTTGAACAATGCCTTCTTCTGGTGTAATTTATATACAGAGCAAACATCTTTTCTGTGCCTTGCCAAATTGTTATACTGTACTTCTTTCTAAGTCTGCTTCAGCTTCCAACATTTTATCCTGTGTACTTTCAGTGTTGTAAAATGTCTCTGAGAGTTCCTTTTGTGTGCAGCTTTTTGTCAGCGTCTCTCCTCCAGGACATTGTCATCTTCTCATTACCGTCACTTTCTTTATTTGTGTTACTAAAAATTAGCCTTCACTGAGTTCCTCTGGCTGTGGGTCCAGAGTTCCTTGAATGGTGACAGTGACAGCATTCCCCCAACCAGCTCTTCTCTGTAACTGCATTCAGGTGCCCTTCAGATTTCATTCAGTTCCAGCATAAGCTTTAGCTTTAGTTTCTTTGCTGCACTTTTATCTTTGTGACTAATACTCTGTTTTGAGAATTTGATTGTATCACTGGAAGACAAAGAGGCAGCACAGCTAAACACTCCTGTTTTTGTGTGAACTGAATATCTGATGTGCAGTGACCAATTACTGACAGACTTGAAGTGATGTGACTGGTCACTGATGATGATTAGGAGGATGAAGTTAGTAACAAGATTTGTGCTTTATACAATTACTTGGAGTTAATATGCCATAGTAACTGAAATTTGAACCTGTGTTGTTGGGGGACCAGTGTCAGTTAACTAAGCTATGCTGTTGTAACAAATCTGTGCATAGTAGAATGTGCAGAATGAGGTATAATTTAATGCCTGTCTGTATTGCAAATGTTGCTCTTTCTTTCTTTCTTTCTTTCTTTCTTTCTTTCTTTCTTTCTTTCTTTCTTTCTTTCTTTCTTTCTTTCTTTCAGGATAGACAAAAATGTTAAGAAAAACATGTGATATTGAGTTGGCTTTCACTTTAAACATAGTCTGGTCAGTTTGTGTGTAACGTAGAGAACAGGCACTGCATGCCTGTTTCCAGAAAAAAATGTTTAAGCAAAAAACATGTGTACCCTTTCTGAGTTATTCTGTTCACTCACAAAGTTCCAAGACAGGTGCCTGGTGTTCCCTTTTGTGCTAGATGAGAGAGTACTTGTGTGGTGCTAAGAAATTTTAGTGCAGTGGGAAGAGCACAGGTTTTGAGATCAGACCTTAAGTGTGTTAACCTCCATGGGTCTCCATTTGCTCACCTGTATTTGCTTACTACATCTTAGAATTGTTGGAAGGATTAAAATGTAAAGAAATGATTACAATGCCTGGCACAGGTTAAGTGTCCAACATTTCTTTACCTTCTAAACCAGAATTAATCATTTAGATTTATTTCCCACAGTTGTTTGGTATTTATTTTGTATTGTCCAATTTGATGCAAAAAGAATGATTTTGGGATTAATACATTTATCATAACAGTGTAAAAATACAGTGCAAATAATAAATAATATAAACTGTCAGCTTCAAAAGTGGTTAATTTTAAGACGGTAACTTAAGTAATTTCTCCCAGTAACGTCAAGCATGTTTCTCATTAATGATTATTTTTTATTTTAAGGTAAAATTAGGTTTGTTGTGTGTTTAAAGGAAAGGTTTAAAGGGTATTTGTGTTTAGAATTTTTGACACAATTGTATTGATGATTTTTTCTTTCCTATTTATTTTCTGAGGTGAGCCCTGGAAAGCATAATGTATCTCATTTTAAATGCAGCATGTTCTCTCTAAGCCCTCGGTCACATGGGCTTGCTTCATTGTGTTGTCTCATGAGTTTCTTCAGGGTGATAGTTGTTTGGTAAGTTTCATTTTAGAGACTTATTTTCTGTAGTATTTTTCCAGAGAGTCTATCTGAGATGGCAGAACAAGACAATTTGGACTCTTTTCGGTAGTGTAGGGAACTACAACCAGTTTAAAATAACTGGAGTAAGGGATAATGCTAAGCAATTCTGAAAATGAATACCCCTTCTGCCTTGCTTTTACATGTGGCTCATTGTACACAGCATTTGACTCTTGTTGATGCAGGATATGACTCAGATTTATCTGGTTTTTTCTTTCGTCTAGCAACAGAAGAGAAGAAATCTCTGAAGCGAACTTTTCAGCAGATACAAGAGGAGGAGGATGACGACTACCCTGGAAGCTACTCTCCTCAAGATCCTTCTGCAGGACCTCTCTTGGTATGTCTTGACCCCCAAAGAGTAGGGCAGAAAGGCGTGAAGTGACCTCTAGTTGAAGACCGTAGCCACAAGGTGGCGCTGGTAACCAGTAGCAGTGTGGACTCACCATAGGGTGACTCTGGGTTCGCTGTGCATGATCTTACCCAGTGAAGCTTGCTGAACGGTGGGCTTCACTTTGTCGTTGCGTGCCATGACTCTGGGATGGGTTTATGCTTTGTAAAAACTTGTACCTTTTTTTTTCACACCTAGAAATTGAAAATATTCTTTAAAAAATGGATTTTTGTGAAAAGGAAGATATGTTAGGAAGATGTTAAAAAGTCTTCTGCCGTGGCCTGTCTCCAATAGCATGGTTGTTTTATAAAATATGTATTCTTGGTTTACTTTTCTTGTTTTTTCTCCCCTTTGTTTATAATTAATGAATTTGATACATTTAATTTTGGGAGTGACAGTAAACCCAAGAAAGAATCAGAGTAGGTTGTATACATTTCATTTAATCAGTCAGCATACAGTTATTAAACATCTGGTATATATACCTTTGGAAATAACCAGACTTCATTTTCTTAAGTTACTAAAAACATACTCTTTTAGAATTTTTAAAAAATAATTATGCAGAACTTTATTCATGTCCTGCCAGGGACTTAGAAAAATTGATGTTGTACATTTTCTTAGAATCCATGACTGGGACTAAGAACATTTTTTGAAAAATATCAAGAATGGCTGCTTTTAGGATTTGCCTCCATCTCATTTAACTCTGGCTAACATTCTTGCTTCCTCATATGTCTTAATGGATAGTGTTTGTGTTTTCATCTTACAGACTGAGGAACTAATCAAAGCTTTACAGGATCTGGAAAATGCTGCATCAGGGGATGCTACTGTCCGACAGAAAATTGCCTCTCTGCCCCAGGAAGTGCAAGACGTTTCTCTCTTGGAAAAAATAACAGGTGAGAAGGCTGAGTGAGTGGAAGATAAGGAAAGGGACCTACCTGTAGTGCAGCCAACCCTAAGACATGCTTAAGTCTGTAGGCATAGACTCTACATTGTAGTGGGTGCTGTGCCATCTTGGAATTTTTCAGATATAACTCACATGCTAGACAAAGAAACTTTGGAACACCCAAAGGTTAAATAGTGATTCCAGAATTTGTTGCCGAACTGCTGGTGTGCTGCAACCTGTTAAATAGGGCCTGTTAAAAATGCAGCACAGATGATGTGCCTGTAGGGTGAGAGGAAGGGGAGTAGGTTTTATCCTATCTGGAAAACTCATGACCCTCTTACTAAAAGAAAACTAATTAGGATTCAGGGCTCTGTGACTTAGACACTGCTCATTACAAACCCTGTAGACAATAGTGTCTCAGTGCCAAGAAGCCCGGGTATGCATTGTTAGTCATGTCATTTTGCCCTAATGACCCACCAATTAAATAGGGAGGAGCTGTTGACATTTTTGCCACTTTCTGCAAAGGAAATCGAAAGGAATTAGTGAAGCATGAACTAATTGTTATAGAGTGTGCTTTGTGCTAGGTACTTCTCTTTTTGATATTCTCTGGAAATGGGCGGGTATATGTCCCCATATTGCCTAGTAAGAATTTTGACTTTGAGAGCTTAGGTGTCTTGCCCAAGGTCACACAAGTAGCAGATCTTGGGATTTGAACCTAGGCTTCTTCCCACTAACAAAGTTCAGACTTCTCTTTCCACTGTCTTCCAAAGGCCACCATATCCCCCTTCCAGTCCCTTGGCTTGGCTGCCTCTCTAACTTCCTCCCTAACCATCTAAAGGAAGTCAGCGTCACTCATGAAATGTTTCCTAATCAAATATTTGGGGCCCACTCTGTAACAGATGCTCTTAGTGTCCCACCCATGTGCCTCAGGGGTAAAGTATCAAGAAGAAAAATAAAACAGGAGTGTGGGAGAGGAGAATAATTGTGGGAGACACTGTTTCAAAGGTGCTCAGGGAAGGCCTTTCTGATGAGATGAATTTTGAGCAGGGACCTAAAAAAAATTAGGAAGCAGGCTATGAAGATATCTGAAGGAAGGCAGTGCCACCAAGCAGAGGGAACAGACCTTAGGCAGGGCTCTACTGGCTTGGAGGACGCAGCACGGAGGCCTTATGAATCACAGAGGCATCTCAGTTCCTGCCCAGCTGCCCAGCCATTCACCCCACCTGGGACCTGCAGCCCCTTGGTCCTGCCTCTTCCTAGCCCTCAAGCCCTCGTTTTTGTCTTTACTCAGACCCTCACACACCTTCAACCCCTTTTCTTCTCTTTTCCTCTTCAGTGTAATCTCCTGGCAAAGTCCCTAAACTGGTTAAATCTAATTTTTTTTTGAGTTGGAGTCTCACTCTTTGTTGCTCAGGCTGGAGTGCAGTGGCACAATCACAGCCACTGCAACCTTGACCTGCTGGGCTCAAGCGATCCTTTCACCTCAGCCTTCCAAGCAGCTGGAACTGTAGATGCACGCCACCACGCCCTGCTAGTTTTTGTGATTTATTGTAGAGACAAGGTCTCACCAAGTTGCCCAGGTTGGTCTCAAACCCCCGGGCTCAGTCTGTCCTTTCGCCTCAGCCTTCCAAAGTACTGGGATTACAGACTGAGCCACCCCGCCTGGCCAAATCTAATTTTAAAAAATTATTATTCTATCATAATAATAATTCTTATAAGGAACACCTCATTTATTCTTACTATCAAAATAAACAGAAATTGGAAGCAAATTAATATAAAGGCAGCAGTGTTTTTGATTCCATTTCTCTGTTTTCACTGACCTAAAAGTCTCATAGCTTCTTTTTAAAATAATTATTTTATTTTGATTTTTAATTGTGGTAAAATACACATTACCTGGAAGTGTATAGTTCAGTCATGTTAAGTCCATTCACATTGTTGTACAGCCAGTTTCCAGAATTCTTTTCATTCAACAATAACTCATCATCTTCCCTTTCCCCATCCCCTGGCATTCCCCATTCTTAAATTCAACTTTCTTCTGATCCTTTCCTGTACATGTGCAGCTGAATGAGGCTGGGAGAAACAAGGGACACACCTTAGTTGATTTTCTCTCCTACTTCTCTGGGCGGACGTACCGTTTTCTAGCCCTGCCCCTCTCCCTGTGTGTTAGACCTGCTGCTTCTCAACTACTCAAGGATGTTGCTCCAGCAGTGCTACCCTTTTCTCCTGCATCTTCCAGTTTTTTTCTCTCTACTGGATCATTCTAAATAGTATTAAAACATGTGTGCCTTTTTCTTATATAAGAAAAAAATTTTCTTGGCTCTAACTACTGCCTCATTTGTGTATTCTTTTTTTTTTTTTTTTGAGTTGGAGTTTCACTCTGTCACCCAGACTGGAGTGCAGTGGCCGCTGCTGGCCACTGTAGCCTCGACCTGCTGGGCTCCGGCGATCCTTCCGCCTCAGCTTTCCAAGTAGCTGGAATTACAGGCGCGCGCTACCACGCCCGGCTGATTTTTTTATTTTTTGTAGAGATGAGGTCTCGCTGCCCAGGCGGGTCTCGAACCCGCAGGCTCAGGCAATCCACTCACCTCAGCCTCCCAAAGGCGTGGGATTACAGGCTGAGCCACCGAGCCTGGCTATTTGTGTATTCTTTTTTAGCAAAACTGCCTGAATGGATTGCTTCCACTTCCCATCCTCCCATTCTTTCTTGGTTCTTCTTCACCGAATCTGCTGTCAAAGTTGCTGATGACTTCCTTGTTGCTAAATTCACTGTTGAAGTCTCTGCCCTCATCTTAACTTGACTGTAGTAGCATTTGGCCCAGTTGATTATTTCCTCTTCCTGAAAGTACTTTCTTCACTTGGTGTGGTAGATGGAGTAATGCCCCCCCCTACAGAATGCCCAGCCCTTAATCCCTAGAAACCTGTGAGTATGTTATTTTATATGGCAAAGGGACTTGGCAGATGTTATTCTTTAGAGATCTTGAGATGGGGAGATTATCCTGGATCATTCAGGTGGGGGCCAGTATAATCACAGAGTCTTTGTAGGAGGGAAGTAGGAGGGTAAGAGTCAGAAAAGGAGATGATACTGTGGAAGCAGAGGGTGGAGCAATATGCTATGGAGATGGAGAAAGTGGCATGCCAGTAAATAAAATATGCATTTGTGATGTTTTAAGCCACGAAATGTGTGGTGATTTGTTGCAGTAGGAAGTGAGGACCCCTCATTGTTCTAGCTTTTCTCCCCTCTCTGGCCATGTCTTTTTAGCCTCCTTGCTGGTGTCCTCCCTGCTCCTTGACCTCTTCATGTTGAGTACTTAGTCTCCTTCTCTGGCTAGTTGCGTTGACATTTGGTCTTGTCCAGTTTCATTACTTTTACTTTTATGCTAATGATTTCCTACTTTACATCACTGGTGTTGACCCTTCCCCCTTGAACTTGAGACCTATATATCTAGCCTCTTATTCAGTATTACTAGTTGGATATCTTGATAGGCATTTCGAACTTAACATGCCCCAAACTGAACTTCTGACCTTTTCTCTAAAACTTGTTTCATTTGTGGTCTTTCCCATCTCGGGAAATGACCCTCAGTATTCCTGTTGATTGAGACCAAAACCCGTATGATATCTTGCTGCCACCTCTACCGCTACCACCTGGCACAAACCTCCACCATCTTCACTTGGTTTATTGCAATAGCCTTCCACCGAGTCTCTCTGCTTCCTTGTCCCACTTCCCCAGCCGTCATTCTGTTCTTAGTGGAGTAACCAGAGTGATCCTGTTGAACAGGTCATATAAACCTTCCCTCCTCTCAGAACACTCTAGAGACTACCCCCATGGCCTAGAGGAAAAGCCAGAGTCTTGCACTGCTCTCCACAGCCTGGCACTGCCTACAGACTTGCACTGCTTCCCCTCACTCACAGCTGGAGCCATTGGGCCCCTTGCAGGCAGGTACTCTCCCCTCTTAGGGCCTGTGAACTTGCCATTGCATCTGCCTGGAGTGTTCTTCCCCAGATGGTTGCATGGCTTGCCCTCTTACTTTTTCAGGCCTTTGTTTACACTTTACCTCATGAGCCTACCCTGAGCATCTTATTGAAAATTCTGATCTCCACTCAGTGCCTTATTTTTTCTCCTCTGCCTTGTGTTTTTCATAGCTCTTCTTTTCACCTCATGAATAAGTATAATATTGTTTCGCTTCCTACCTGAGAATGTAAACTCGAGGGCCAAGAGTTGTCCATTTTGTTCCCTGCTGTCTCAGAGCTTAGACACAATAGGAGCTCTAATATTATTAAGCTAATTTAAAGGCTTTGAGAGAAGATTGGTGGGTTTAGGACCCTGATTAGGGTGGACTTTGGAGGAGAGGAGGTGGCTACAGGGAGTATGGGTAACTCTTGAAGAGCTTTGCTCTAAGGGGTGCAGGGGAATGGGTCAGCAGCTGGAGAGTGCTGTGTATCGGAATGCATATGTTTGTGTGCTTCAGGAGAGAAAGAGTGAGTTAGCTGAGGGGGGGACATATGGGGGATAGTTGCAAAAATTTAGTCTTTGAGTAAGCAAGGGGGAATGAGATACTCACATTCAGGCCAAGAGAAGCTCTCGGTCACTCTGCTGACCGGTTGTCAAGGAGAGCAGAGAGCTTAGGTACAGCCATGGGTAAGTCCCCTGGAGTGAGCACCTTGCTTCTATATTTTGACTACATTTTTAGTATAACTTGTTAAACTTTACAGGTTATTTTTCCAGGTTGTAATTATTTGTGCAGCTGAATTATTTCCTTTTTATAAGGTTTTAAGGATGAGAATTGGTTTATTTTAAATCATAAAAATTAGTATTTTCCTTGCCATTATTTTTTTGCCACAGTTACCCAAGCATCTTCATGAATTAATCACTAGAAAAAGATCAGGTAGGCAGTGACGAAGCTAAAAACCGATCTGACCACCTCACAGTTTATTCCCAGCCTGAAGCACCACACCAGAAGGGCACATCTTGGCGTTCTCTCTTCCTGGTGACAGAGGGTCATCTCTTTATTTTGCTCTATTTTGTTCACTCCTTCCTGTTCACCAGGGGCAGTCTTTTGTTCCCTATCCCCGGGGAGGGTAGAGATGCCTAATCTTTGGCATCAGACCCAATTTGGAATCCCTCAGCAGTTCATCTCCCAATATTCACATTAAGAAGGCATCTAAAAGCCCGACAGCTGTTTGCCAGACAGGGAGATACTGTATTGGGAACCCTCAAGTCCTGGGTACCCAGAATAGTGAGCTCTCTTGCCTCTGACAGCCTGCATCCTTAGGAGGCAGCAGGCCTTGGTCACTATGTGACTTGCTCTTACTTTGCCCTGTAAAACTGCTGGGGTCTCTGGTGCTCTTTGTTTCAAAGCACTGACCTACTGTTTTGATCTATTAAAGCCTTTTAAAAATGAGATATACCTATTTACATGTCACCACCATCCACACATAATTGATTGTGTCAGTTCTTATAAATATAAATCCTTTCTTTGTTTCTTCTTATTTCTTAATGTTGAATCTTTGTTTACCACCTCTTTCCCAGAATACCTTTTGTTATTACTTCACAGTTTTCCTTCCAAAGCATGAGTTACATCTCATTAATTAGACATGAAATTAGTCTGGTAGATAATGACTGATTTTTTTCTAACAATAGAGTAGAACAGAATAGAGTGCACATAGTAAGGATAAGTATTATTTTTTGAAACTTTTTAAAAATTTCTACTAAGTGTATTTCTACCGTGGGTCATGTTCAAAAATATTGAAAGTCTCTGATTTTTATAAGACCTTATATTTTGCTTAATGTAGTAAGAGGGCTCATATCCAGGTTCAAGGCTTACATAGTTTAAAGGTAGAGTCCTATAGATCCACAGATCCGTTTTATAGACCTGACTTTGAGTTCCAGCTTCTCAACTTATTGAACCTATCATGTAACTTTTTTTTAATTTTAGTACAAAAATTTGTGCATACTTTCTATATCAGTGGAATTTAAAAAGAGTACTAAATGAAATACAGTCGTCCCTTGGTATCCAATGGAAGATTGATTCCAGGACCCATTGAGGATACCAAAATCCTAGAATGCTCAAGTCCCTTATATAAAATATAGTATTTGCATATAATCTATGACCATCCACCTAAGTACTTTAGTTCATCTCAGGACTCCTTATAATACCTAATACTGTGTAAATGCTGTATAAATGTTAATAGTTGTCATGCTGTGTTTCTTACTTACTTTTCATTGTTGTATTGTTATTTTTTGTTGGTTTTGAGGTTCTTTTGTCTGAATGTTTTTGATATGCTATTGGTTGAATCCATGGATGTGAAACCCACAGATATGGAGGGCCAATTGTAATATAAATAAAAGCACTTGAAATTCTCAGAGGCAAGGAAAAATTATTTTACAGATGACCTTAAACATCTTTTTCTGCTTGTTTTGTTTGTAGAGCTTTTGCAGGAATAGGCATTTAGAAAGCCTTTGCCAGATTCTCCTCCCTGTATAATTGCCTCACTTCAGGTAATTGAGAAATACCCTGTCTTGTTGACAGAGTGTGAATGCCTTTGGATTTCTTGGTCAGCCAACCCATTGTTTGTCCATAAGTTCTGGCTTATTCTTAGACTCTGTATGTTGGGAAGGAAACCATCATCCTCCCCTAGAAATGTTTGCAATTGTACCTATGTGATTTGTATATTCTCTCTGTTTTTTTGGTCTCATTTGTACTTAGACAAAGAGGCAGCTGAACGTCTTTCAAAAACAGTAGATGAAGCATGTCTGTTACTAGCAGAATATAACGGGCGCCTGGCGGCTGAACTGGAAGACCGTCGCCAGCTGGCTCGGATGTTGGTGGAATATACCCAGAATCAGAAAGATGTTTTGTCAGAAAAGGAGAAAAAGCTAGAAGTGAGTACACTACAAGGCAGATCCAGACTGCCTGAGTTTCCTTTCCTATAGCCCATATTAGGAAGCTTTTGTTATGCTTTAGTTAACATTTCTAGCTTCTGAAAATTTGATGAGATGGTAATATCCATTAGATACTATAATTATTTGAGCCTAGTTAAAAATTGAAGCCATGTTTTTATATGTCCAGGAAAGAACAAATTGGGTTATAGGAAACAAACAATGAACTCCTAATCACAGCATTTAGGATCTTAATATTGCTTTAGTTTGAATTCATGTTTTTAAAAAATTATAAATTGAGGTACAAAAAGAACAAGAGATCAGTTAACACCAAAACACATGTATTTGATAGTGTTTGGGAAATGCTTAAAAATTGCTTTTGAGTTGTTTGGAGTTTTATTTCTGACTTGTATCCATGCAAAGGCCAATAAGTCACCTGCCTCCAAACTCTGTCTATAGTCAGTCCTAAAATTTCACAGTAGTGTTTACAGAGCCCAGTCTTCAGACTGTTTAGAAACAACTCATTTCTACCCTGAGTTGAGGACATTAGGCCAAGTGTACTTGGGGAGGGAGTTCAGAAACGTTTCCATGCACTTGTTTGGCCTCTTAATTAAGTACATGGTGGTTCAGCCGCAGTGCTTAGACCCTTAGGATAACAGAGGCAGCAGTGTGGATGTCTGGGAACTTTTCTTGCCCCAAGCTGCTAGTCTTCCTTTTCAGGAGTGTTTGCTCTTCTTTTGTTTAAAAGACATGTGGAAAAGAGTTACAGCCAGTGGTTTTATGAAGGGTGGAGAGTTCTGAGTTGGAGAGCTGGTCACGTTATATGACAAGAAATACCTCCTAAATCCCACTCAGCGTTGATAAGGGAGGGGGAGAACCACTTTGCCTCTGCACTCAGGAAACCCGTTCTCTGGCACAGAGGGAGGGAATGTTGAGCTAGTTCTGAGGCTGAGATTATTGTATTTGCCTTTCAGCACTGTCACCTGACTTGAGAGGGGAAATGAGTGGTAGCATTTTTACGGTATCCTCACCTGCAGTGACAATGAGAGCTGCGATTGGTAGTGGTAGCGGGAACTTCACATTCCTAGCCAGCTTGATGTGGAAGATGGGAAACGGCTGTAAAATTAATATGGCTTGGATTTAGAAATCGACGCTGACCAGAAATCCTAAAGGGAATTTCACAGGCAGTACCAGACGGTCATTTATCTGAAATGCTCATCTTTCACTGAGGAAGCATTTTCAGCACCGTGCCCCGGGACTAATAAGAGAGTGTAATTAATGATTCTGGTTGTAAGTCACCATGCCATCTGTTGAACTGCCCCTTGGCGACACATTAAGGGCTTTCTCTGATCTGTCAGACATTGATTATCATGAGCAGCTGTTGTTGGGTGGAACGTGGCAAGCTACCATAGAGGGCAGAGACTTTGAGAAGGAGTTCAGGTTGGAAGAACTGGTTAACTCTTTGTTGTTTCCCCTCCCTACAGTGGCACTTTTCTGTATGTGTTTTTCTGGAGGAATCCTTCTGCTTTCTGTAGAACCAGTGGTTTGCTGGATGCCATGAGAGGTCATTAAGGCAGAGAAACAGCAGAGATTTGAGTCTGTTCTGTAGCTGTCCAGTTCTTATCACTCTGTTCAGTTCACTCAGTGGAATGGCTCTCGTTGGAAGAGGCAGAACGGGAAGGCTCTGCTGCCAGAAAGTACTGAGTCTAAACTAGCAGGTTCTTATACCAGACCATGTCTCCTAGCCACTTGAGCAGAATCATGTATGCTAACAGTAGAGCTAAATATGCTACATTCAAAAAAACAAACGACCAGATACAACAAAAGATTTGAGAGATGGCTTTAGTTCTTTCTTTAACCACACTTGCTAACAATGTGAACAATCTGTTCTGAACTAATAGTTTTCTTTCACTTTCTATAATAGACTGACCTTATTCCATTATACCTTCATGGTGATGATAAAACTTGATAAATATGTGACACTTGAAAGATGTATCAGTACCATGAATTCCTCCAAATCATCCAAAAGTCTCTTTGCAGGGGTAGTGCATAAGGTATACCTGTCATCCCTATCTTTTTAACATTCATTTTTGGAACACAACCAGTTCTTGTTTTGAAACAGCTAAATCAGGATGCTAATGAAGTCTTTTATTTTTTTAATCCTTTTTTTTTTGCCTTCAATGTATACACTCGTGGAATTCTCAGAACTCTTTGGAGATGTGATTATTTGCTTGGGAGTCTGTTTTCCCAAAATTCTAACATACTTAGGCTTGTTTGTATTTTCTTTTTTAAGTTTATATCTTCTTTTATGTTCATATCCTTTTTTAAGTTTATATCTTCCAAGCGTCTTTTTTCTTTTGCTTTAATTTTTATGTTAGATTTCTCAGTAGCTCCTAAACTTTGGGATAGGGAGTGTGAAGATTCAGAGCCTAGGATGTGGGAAGTGGGAGTTATGGCTTACAGAAAGAGATTGTGTTTCTGCCCTCTAGGAGATTATGTTCTGGCATAAACAGCACAGGTGAATATAAAGCCAAACAGACTGATTATATATAAAGTAGATAAAGGAGGCAATTGGCAGTTCTGATTGTGACTTAAGGTAAGTCCGGACTTCCTGCCGGGCAGTAAAGCCTTTTTGTAAAAGGAAATAGCAATTGAAGACGAGAAATATGTTTATAAATGGGGAGCAGCCAAACTGGACCAGATAGGCATATGAAGAAAGACAAAGATAGAGGGTGTGGGAAGGAGGTTCTGGAGCCCACCAGTGGGGGGATTAGGGTCTGTGCTCTGTCAGGAGCTGTGTATTCATTCAGTGAGTCAACAAAGCCTGTGCCAGTCAGATGTACAAAGATGAGCGAGATGTGCTTTCTTCCCTCAAAGAGCTTTCACACTTGTGGGGGAGAAGCACCACCACACTTTAAGAGGAATTAAGAGAGAATGTGAGAAATGCTATGCTTAAGGAGAATTTGCTAACTGATGTCTACACCGAAATAAACCAAGAGAAAGCTCACAATGCTAATAACATTAATTTGATCAGGTGTTTACTAAAAATATAAGAGCATTAACAAGTGCACGGGCAGGTTCCGAATACCATAATACCTTCAGCAGGTCTTCTGAAGCCTACTAGACTGCATTCTCCTTGACTGCTCTCACAGTGCCACTAACATGTTTGTTCCTCAGTAAATATTTGTTCTGTAACTGAAATTCATCACTTAATGTAACTGTTTTCTATAGAGAAAGGGTTTTTTTTTAGGTTGCATTAAAACTGGCTTAACAAATCTGAGTTAATGATTTGTTGTAAAGAATATGCTAAAAGGTAGCTATCTTTAGAAACTCCTATGGGCTTCTTCTTTGTGCTGCTTTCCTTTTCCCCTTGAGTAGGATCATGCTTTGTTTTGGGATATTAATCTCTTTTTTTACCATCCACTTTTGTTTCTGGGTGTTGTGGTTGATATGGTCTACCGCCACCTTTTTCTTAAACTCCAGGCAAGCTGTTTTTGTGAAGAACTTGAGAAAATCTAGAAATGGAAAAAAAGGCATGTGGAAGGAAACAAAAATAGCAGCCCAGAGATGAGGCTAAGGAACATGGAAGGCATAGAAGAAGGTTGATTCAAGCAGGTAGAGGCCAAAGATACCAGAACAGCTTCCACACTTCACTTCTTAAAGCAGAGAAAGTTTGTGGTTGACAGAGGTGACTTTGGTACTCTCAAGCTCATAAAATGCAATCTGTGTGGGTGTGACAGAGTTCTGTCTTGTCTGTTTGGATAAAGCATGATTTGGGTATGTTCCATCAAAGTGCTCAGGGCATGTGGAAGAGTATGTGTGTATGAGAGAGAAACCTATTTGAGAAAGTGTTAAGAAGAAAAAAATCTTTACTAGATACCTGCAAGTTTGCCTTCTTAACATCAGGTATTTTCATTAAGATGCTGTCTGACTGTCAGCAATCAAGAACTGAGATAGTCCATTGTATGGTGTGCATGCTACATGGTATACCCACAGAGATTGTATGATACACAGGGAAGAGCTCTGGGAAATGGGTTCCAAGCTGCAGATTTGTTATTTTAGTTGAGGTGAAATTCATATAACATAAAATTAACCATTCATTTCAAAGTATATTTTAGTGGTATTTAGTACATTCATGGTGTTGTGCAACCACCACCTATCAAGTTCCAAGACATAATTATGTCTGGCTTCTTTCACTTAGGATGTTTTCAGGGTTTATCCATGTTGTGGCATATATCTATTCTTCATTTGCTAATGGTGGAATACTGGTTGTATGAATGTGACATCATTATATATACATAATCTTTTGGTGGACATTTGGGTTGTTTTCACCTATATGAATAATGCTGCTGTAAACCTGTACAAGCTTTTGTTTGGGCATCTTTTCATTTCTCTTGGGCATATGTAAACCTAGGAGTGGAATTTCTTGGTCATTTGGCAATTCTATGTTTAACATTTTGAGGAACCATCAGACAGTTTTCTACAGTAGTTACACCATTTAACATTGCCACCAGCAACGTGCATGGGTTCTAGTTTCTCCACATTTGTTATTGTCTGTCTTTTTATTCTAGGCAACCTAGTGGTATGAAGTGGTATCTCATAGTGAGTTTGATTTGCATTTCTCTAATTACTAACAATGTTGAGCATCTTTGTGTATGCTTATTGACCATGTGGAAAAATGTCTATTTAAGTCTTAGACCATGTTTTGATCGGGTTGTTTGCTCTTTTTCTTTTCTTTTTTTTTGTTGAGTCGAGGTCTCACTCTGTTGCCCAAGCTGGAATGCAGTAGTATGATCACAGTTTACTGCAGCTTCAGCTTCCTGTGCTTAGGCAGCCCTTCCACCTCAGCCTCCTGAGTAGCTGGGACTACAGATGTGCACCACCATACCTGACTAGTTTGTTTTTTTTTTTGGTAGAGATGAGATCTCATTATGTTGTCCAGGGTGGTCTTGAACTCCTGGGCTCAAGCAATCCTCCTTCCTTGGCCTCCCAGAGTGCTTGGG